AAAAACGCTTTTGAATACGAAGAAACTCTAAAAGTTCAAACTGCAATATTAATTTTGCTTTAAATATGTTTTTCTAAACATTTTCGCGTTTCTTTTCTTATGAACAAACCTTCGAATGGTCTAAAACATGGAGGTACAAAAAAGAGGAAGCGGCATACCGGATGAAGCCAGCCGAACGAGCAGATCCCAAGTGATGGTAATACAATTAATGCAAAAGTGCGAGCGAGCTGGACACGAATAACGAAAATAATCACTGGAAGAGGCGAACATGAAAGAAAAATGAAAAACGCGAATCTCCAAACACAGCTAGGTCACTGGTGCGCGGCCGAAAAAAGCCGCCTGGTCCTGGTATCGAACCAGAGACCTCTTCATTTCTAATGGAGCGCTCTAACAACTGAGCTAGACTGATTAGATCAATTTCTTCTTTTCATACGAGAGAAAGACGAAAATATTGTGAAACGACTTTGTTCAAAAAATTAATATTCGAACTCGTACTTTTTTTAGTTTTCGCTTGTATTCAAAGGCGTCTTGTGCCCTAATAACTTTATATGGTTATAACGATATTGTGCTTGTTAAATATGTATTTGTATCAGCTCTCATATGATATATGATGCATGTCATTAAATTCAATAGAACTAAAGTGAGCATCACCCAATTCTCGTAAATTGCTGTCAAAGAGGACATAATCTTGATTTTTTACGAAAATGAATAAAAACATTATAGAACTTTTATAAAATACCTGCGCTTTTAATATACTTAACATAGTCATGTGAACAGCTCATTTGTTGTACGCTTGATATCTGAGCCTGGAGAAGCTTCCAAATAGGCGACTTGTAACGATCGCCCAAATCACAAAATCGGTCTTCGGTCCTTAAAAGTCCGAAATTCGAAAGCTAGAAATATGACGCAAAAACCGGTTTTCAGTTTCGTCCTCCTAAAGAATGCTCTCAACATATATATTTTTCAAACGTTTTTGAGACATGACCCCTTTTTCCCGGAGGATTTGAAATGAAATCGCCAATATAGTGCTATATAAAGGATATTTTCTTAGGTTTTAGATTTGTTTTAAAAAGAGCCATGAAAGCAACGCTCATTAAGTATTTTCAGGTGAGTGATACAATCAGAGGGAGGTAATACACAGGGTTAATCGTCACGATAACCCTAATAAGTGCCTAAAATTCGTTAATTACTTTTTTTGTTAAAATAAATGTACGTTTTTTCTTGTTTCTTTTTTTTTTTTGTTTTACACTTGCGGAGCGTCATTGAAAACAACTAAATCAGTAATTTAAAGAAAAGCTTTGAGCTCCGCAGCGTGCTGTCTTAAAGTTCTCAGATAACAGCTTCCTACAAGTATCGATATTCTTTGAAGCGCCGGCTGCGTGACGGTGCAAGTTTTAAGAAGTGAATGGGCGGCGCACAGCAGAAGTTTGAACCGAATGCCGCCATTTTGTTCAACGGAATGTGCTGCGTCATTTGTGTCGGTTATCGTTACTTGGAAAAGGAGTATCAAGGGACTTCATTAACTTTACCACCCGCGCAACAGGTGCAAGGCTGGCGCTCACAAAACGCGGACGATGGATGGGAAAACCGCGCGTTCACTTTATCGCACAGGTAGCCGTGCTCCTGCTCCACGAGTGGTCACTTTAGCGCTCCGCCGCGATTCCCGCGTGCTCGAAATCTATCAAAAATGAAATGATTTAGTGGTTTCGGACGACGTTCAACAATTTTCTATACAAAACATTTAATTTTACAATTTGTGAGGTCAAGGATAACTCCTTGACCTCACAAATTCGTCTTTTCGCCGTTACTGCGTCGTTTATTGTCGGATCAGTAACCCATCAGATTCTACTGCCCTTCAAGACGACTTACTAAATATCAGCTCATGGTGTACTAACTGGCTCATGCTTTTAAACTCTTCTAAATGCAAGCACGTTCGTTCCTTTCGTCCTAATGATTCTTGTTCGTACCCCAGTCAATATCACATTCAAAATACCCCGTTGGAATTAGTCCAATCTTACAAATACCTAGGAGTTCACCCAACCTCGGATCTATCATGGAACATGCATATTAATTACATTCTTTCAAAAGCTAACCGTAGTCTCGGTTATTTAGAACGTAACTTTAATTCTGCCCCATCTTCTCTTAAACGACTAACATAGGTCACGCTTGTTCGACCGATCCTGGAATGCGCTTGCAGCATTTGGAACCCTCATTATCATTACTTAGCTGCCTCACTGGAAGCACTTCAAAACCGAGCCGTTCTTTTCATTTTTTCTGATTACTCACGTCATACTAGTGTAACTAACCTTAAAAGTCGTGCTTACCCTCATTCACTTGGGATACGCCGCAGGGTATCAAAGCTATGTCTTCTGCATAAAATATACTACTCGCCATCACTTCACTCATCACTTCTCTCTCAACCGTTTTATGTTTCAGCCCGCATCGATAACTCACGTAAGATTAAACTTATTTCTTGTAAGTCATCCTTGTTTTTCTGTTCGTTTTTGCCATCCGCCATTGCTGACTGGAACGACATGCCCGATAACATTGTTTGTCAACGTGATCAAGTTCTTTTTCGACAAGACTTGGCTACTTTTTGGGACCCTTGTCGCATCTCTACTTAAGTGTGGTCGATTTTGTGTTTTCTGTGCTCTATACTTTTGATTTATTCTGCTTTGTAACCCCCCCCCCCCCCCTTACATAATGCCCCTTGAGGGCGTGTAAGGTATTTAAATAAATAAAAAAAAAATGAGTAAAAGATTAAATTCTAATCAATTTGTTAACTTATCGTAACGGTTAGCCCTGTGTTATGTTCCCCTGGCCGTATACGTTACCGTCCAAAGCCGTGATAGTTTAGCTTTGACGGTTATTTTTAAACAAATCTACAAAGAACAAAACATCCCGTATAACTCGTAGCGTTTCAGGCGTGCTACTTCCACGCAGGAAATTATTGCAGTTCAGAAACAAAAATTTGTTCGCCTCGCTCATTTTGCTTTCTTCAGCTCGAAGCAAATCTCTACGACGAAAAGTATTTAAAAAAAAGTTTCGGCAAAAGATGCTGAGGCTTAAAATTAAGAGTTTAGTTTCTCCGTGGCTTTATGTGGGAAATTGTGTTTACGATAAATTACGATATTTGTTTTATTAATGAGAACACCGCCCGTTGACTTCAAATGTCGCAGCGTTTAAAAATACAAATTGGCATCGATCAAAATTATTTTCACGCTTAAATAAGATAACGCCAAGAAACCTTAACCCCGGACCAAGATCCAATATATTTTCTGAAGCGCCCTGATTGTTTAGCGGAAACTCACGAACGAAAAACAAAAGAAAGCTGAATATTCGTCTTATCGAAGCAGACAGCAGCGAAGTCTTATCTGAGTAACCACGAGGCGTGACATGGATGACGTCACTGAGAAAGTTCCATGACGTCACAAGGCCACTGAAAAGCGAATCCGATCGCTCTAATCACGCGCCAAAGGCGCTCATCACGCTTTTGCGTTTGCTATGACCGACGACACCAATCACGCACAAGGAACTCGCCACGATCCTGCGCTCTTCTCTGGTCGTGATTAGTTAGGCCGGTGGTATCCCATCCCCAAGGACAACGAGGGCCGTGACCATGCACTTTTTTACGCTGTTTGATTGGCTCTGTCGTGTCGTAGCGTCGGCTGCGGTCGTACTTGAAGTGATTCGAAGCGGAGTACAGCGCCGTTGTCAGCATCAGCTCGCGGTTCACAAAACCGAGGCTTCAAACGCTGTCAGTCTGGATAAGAATCGACGTGGAAACGGTTCAGACGGAATATGTTTTACGAGTTCCGCGTTATCGCTCGCTACCGTCTCGAAGGACGAGTCCGCGAGCGAGCGTGACGTCACCCTTTCGCAACTTCTGCTTACAGGAAGCAGCGCAACGTTACGTAACCACAACAACTCGTTGGAAATTTTCCAGTGGTTACACAAACTGCTACGCGTCTGGAAGATTCTACAAACTGTTTGATTCTTCTACACAAATTTTAAACGAGTTTACGACGTTTCTCTACCGGGTTTCACCGTATGTCAGAACGCTGTCAAAGGCTAGCAGACAGAAAAAAACACGCTGAGAACGCAAGGTCACCAGACACTCGCTGCTCATTATTTGTTGAGCCGACGAGGATGAGCGCGCTTAAAAATGCCGGCCGCCGTTACGTTCTGGTTTAAAGTTTATTTTGTTTCCCCATCTCCCGTTGGCATCGGTTGCGTTCGGAGTAAATGTGAAAGGAAGATCTTAAGGGACAGCATAGGAAACATATTTTCCTTAACATTCTCGCGATATATTGTTTTAAAAGTTGGGCGTCTTTTTCGTAATCATCCATAGAAACGAAGCTTGTGTGCTCAAGATTTGTGCAATTTTGGTATCCAGGTGAACGTCTGCGCTCCTAGGAACGCGAAAACTTGATTTCGCGCTTGTTCCGGTGAACTTCACTCGCGTAGCCGGATTCAACCCATAAATGTGCGAACATTTTCTTCATTACCTCTGCCCTCCTCCCCTTTTCTCCCTTACAACAAATGAAACGCAAGTACCACGGTATTTGGTAGGTAAAAAAATAAAAAAATATATTAACAGAACGGTTGATTGATCGGTTGTATAATTTTTTAAATAATTGACGAAACACACAGATGAGCAAATATGCGCTCTTCATTCCGTCCATAGGGATAACTGCGTACCGTAAAAAAGGTTAATCTTAGCGCTATATTTCATTCATTCGTTTATATAAGGCACTCGTGAACTGTTAATGCGTCAATAATTATGCCCAGCAAGTGGACTGGAGGTCATTCAAGAACAACCTAAATGCTACGACCACTCCAACCCTGCCGTTTCATTCATTCGCAGCCGACAAATCGCAGGCAAAACATCGCCTCTCCCGTGCAGAGGGGGGATCGAGACATCCTACGGTAGTAAGGAACTGCACAAAAATATCTAAACTCGCACTCGGACGTAAAAGAGCCAGCAGGAAACCACTCACGTTTACTGGAGCGTCCAAAGAAGCGGCAAATATCGTCGCCTTGCTGGGCCAGCAATCGCTGCGAGGTGGTACACCTTTGGACGTCCGCACTCCGAGGACAGTTCAAGCCGCGCGCGAATCTCGTCTGCGATCTGCGGCAAGTGTCTCCGGTCGCTCCGGTGTTCGAGTCTGGGAGAGGGGGCGGAGAACCCTCATATCTTAGGCGCTTTCGGCCACTCCACTTGCGCGCGCTCTATTGTATCTGGACCGTTTCACCATCTCGATCAGTGGAACTTATCACCTCTCCCCGCACGACGGGAGTGATGACGTCGGTCTTCTGAAGTGTCCGCGAACACCCGTAAGGCAGGGAACGATGTGCCTCATCGCCATCTGAGAAGAGCCGCCTTGTGCAGAAGAGCTTTCATGTTTTCACTACACTTCCTCAGCAGGGTTGCGCGACTCTGGAATGTACGATTTCCAAAGTGCGATATTTTTTTTTTTTTTTGTAAATGTAAATACCGGAAGATGTAGCTCAATCCCTCAAAGCCCCCAATTTCTTGAACTGGGAAAGATCGAACTAGAGCACTATATAGCTCCTACGGAGCAGAGTAGCGCAATCCTTTGATCCGCGTGTTTCGCCGACAACATGGCCGACAGAGCAGCTCGGAGCGAGTCACGTGGTACTCAGGGTTCCAGGAGGCGGCCCGCCCTATGGGAGAATGCATGGAGGTCGACTCACCACGGCTGATAAAAAAAATAAACGCCAAGTTCACACTTTTCAAAACTAGTCTGTCGTGAAGTTGGTAAAGTAATAAACAATTTATCAAAGTTTTAATAATATTGGATGCGTTTGAAAATTTTGCGAAGGCAATTTTCAAAGCAATGACGTTTAAAGCATCTTCTTCTTCTAAGCGTTGTGAAAGATGGTGGGGGGGAGGCGTTTGAAGCAGACGATTGTTTTACGCAGCGAAGATGGACTTTATGGATTGGCCGGACCGGGTCACGTGAATGGTGTGACGTCGCCGCGTCGTCTGCTGCATGATGCTGCTCAGGCAATTTTTTTTAATTATTTCATGGCGCACAACTTAGCGCAAATTATTGTAAACTGTTCCCTTATTATGTCAAAAACTATTGTCGTTCCATAGATCCCCAAAATAATCAAGAAGCAGCGATTTTCTCCCGTTCCCCATGCATTTGTGGCCGGAGTTGGAACCTCCGGGCGTTCGCCGCTCGTCGCCGAGAGACGGCGTTCTAGATTGCGGTACTCTGCTCCGAAGCTATATAGTGCTCTAGATCGAACAAGGCTCAGCGTTCTCTCGTACTTCACTTTGCGCCATCTGTCAGGAACACATGTAAGTTTGCGAGGACAGGCGTGGCACCGTCTGCGAATGCCGCCGTATAATTGTTCAAAACAGGTTCCTTTATCTTCTTTTTTTTGCGACGTACGCTCACCCGTTAATATCTTCACTCTACACTTCCACCACCTCCCCGCTCCTCTGTAGTAAATCACGGCAGGATACATTGAAAACCCGAATGGTGCGGACCGTTTAAAATGGATTCGAAGTGTTAGCGTACATACGATATATTCGATGATGCGAAACTTGCGCGACTAGAATCGAAACAAAACAGTAGTAGCCAGGCTCAGTGCTACAGCTGGAGTATGCCGTTCATCGTGCCTCAGCTCGTACTCATGTTCACATATGTTCATCACCTTCATGTGGCGTTCCGCGTTTTTTTTTTTTTTTTTTGAGGGGGGGGGGGGGATTTAATTTTTGGGAAATTTAGATTGTGTTTTTCCGAGTTTATTTTCCGTGAAAAATTCGGGGTTTACCGAACATATTTTTGTTAGATTCCCAGTTCTCCGAATTTCGTAGTTCGATTTTGCGGTTTTTCAACTTTCTAGAATTTATAGTAAAAATAAATAATATTCAAACAAAAGCATACCTTAAAGTAGCGTGTATCGAATTACATTTCTTTAGCCGCGTTTTGCGTTCGCGCCCTTGCAACGAAAATACAAACTGTCTCCCGACAAAACTTGCAAACGCGATTTGATTGAGTAAACGTCAATACCATAAAATCACTAAACACTTGGACGTTGTCGCTGGGAAGCAAAAAAGCCCACTCGCCCTGCCAATCAAAATTTAAGGGCTCATAGGTTTCCGTTATAAAAACGGCACCTCGTACTCTAAGAATCGTGCTCTTTCTCCGGTATAACTGGAAAATATAGTTTCCAAATTGGAAACCAGAACAATGGCTTTTTCCAGGATCCAGAAGTGCAATGACCCGTTGTCCTGGGGGAACCTTGACGAGGTATGCAGTAATTAACCTTATTTCGTCAATAGACCAAGGTTTGAAAGAAAACTGAAGTGGTCTCTCCTCGACACCACAATCCTGTGTGCTCTGACCAAACGTACCACTTGTTTTTTTTTTGTTTTTTTTTTTTCTTTTTTGCTATAAAAGTTCTGACATTTTATGTTTTCGAGATAAATCTAAATTGACGAAACTTCTACCGGCGATTGTTTTTTTTCGTATTTTATTGTATTTATCCGAAAAAAACAAAGCCCTGCATTTAGACATAACAAAAAATATGTAGGTGAGCTGGTGAACTTTCAACATCTTGAACACTCGACATTGAGAAACAAAAAGTGGTGGCCTTAGCGCTTGACCTTGAAGTTCCACTCCTGTAAACATTGACCGAACTGCAACCTCTAAATATCGTGAGCTCACAGGTCCTTATATCACAGATATAAGGACAAGAAGGCTGGGATCTATAAGATGGACATCTAGTGGACGTGCGCCAACGTTCCGTGCGTACGCCCATCGAAGTTCCGAAGATGTTTAAAATGCAGAAGGACATTGCGGTCTACATCCGGGAGGAATTTTAGCTGAACTACGAGTTGAAGTGGAAGTGTGTCATGGGACACAACTTTGTATCACTCGTGTACTACGAAGCACACTTATCAACTTCAGCCTGGGCCAGGTGACCATCGAGACTTTCCAGATCCCCCCTAGTTAAGAATCCTATATGTATAAGAAATTTCTTGGTCCAATAAAAGCATATAATAAAATAAGTACATATAAGAGTATGCATTAACCTTATAATAGCATATAAGGACAATATAAAATTAAAGAAGTTATAAAAAACTTCGTATAATTCTTTTATAACTGCTTATATTATATTATACAGTCCTTATATGTTCTTATACGTTGTTTGTATGCTCTTATATGATCTTATTTAATCATATGCGTCTATTGAACAAATACTATTTTTTATACATAAAAGACTTTGTTTTACTAAGGATTATTTGTATCCCTCGAGCCCCATACCCAAAGCGGTCAAGCTTTTTTCTCCTAGATACCAAAGCAGAGAAGAGTTAGTTTCTACTGCCTGCAGCAGATGTTGTTTTTCCTGACTGTGTAGCCGGATCCCTTGTAGAGACAAATTTCTCGTGCATTTCTTTCAGCGTGATAACATTTTAGGTCGCGACGTGTTCTTTTAACATTGATAGACTCATTACCGTCCACTAAGTCCCTGTAAGGTCAGATGTTGATTCCATAAAACAGATGCTCATGGAAAGCTGTTTCAGATGCTGCGATTTTCTTTTGGTTGGTGCATGATTACGTATCAAGCAAACAAATTTATTTCCTTTCTTCATTTTGTTATGTCATCTTCTAAAAGACATTACTGTAATTCAATTATTTTTGAAGCCATTACCTCACTTGTATTTTGTGACAGGTCTATGGAAATTTTCATTTGGCCAGTTGTAATAGTTTAGGAACGAACAAAGCTAAAATACCATATATCCACCCTACATAAGGCTCCAAAAATATGTGATACGAGTGTATATGAACTTCGCAACGTGTTTTTATTTATTGCTTCGGTTTTGGAGCAGTTTACCAAAACAAAAGCACGTTTTGAAATCACTCCTCACTCCAAATGAATCTTAAACGACACAAGTAGTATCCATGATTAATTATACTTGAGATTGGGTTAAGAAAAAGGACACGTCAACTCTTTGGTGCTTTATTTTTCTCACCCCAGTCTCAGGTACAACGAATCGTGGCTAAACTTCATCGGCTCCACTGCATTTCTACGCTCACTATTTTTTCGCAAATATTATGCTAATTTTTGTGAAAGTTGGGTGAAAGTTTATTTAGTGCATAACGTGTCCTACACCAAGCAGGGAGATCAGTGTCCCACAAACCCCACACATAGAAGGCTGGCTTACACACCTGTTGGACTGCTTACGACCGAGTGGCTTGTGATCTCTTACGACGAGAGAATACACTGGCGTCATCTATCGTCGGGTTGGAGTGAAACCCTCGGAATTTCCGTATTCCCTGCTTTTTTTTCACACGTCTTTTTTTTTTTCTTATTTACTCGAAAAAGCTTTTGACGATGCCAAAACGACTATTTCTCATAGATGGTACAGACATTTCATCTCAGAAATACTGCGAAACATTCCCTCTAATGAAATGCAGTTTCGGGGTCACCTCATAGATGGCGCCAGCGTGCCAGTGTGTTCTCGTCAGTGATCATAATCAAATCAAATCAAATTATGTTTATTTTCCATCGCACATGATGATGGGGGATACCGTTGAAAAAAGCTGTTTGTGTGCAGCTTGACGAGCCTAGGCCTATATTGGAGACAGCGAAAAAACAAATAACCAAAATAGACAAACAAACAAATAAACAATGTGCATTTTTATACAATGTTAGCGATGCTATTTTTGTTTCGTGACAGGATATCCATTTTTAGCGATGCGATATAATTTAGAAAGTAAAGAAGTGCACGTTTGATTCTTTGACGACCAAAGGTAGTACTCGATATTGGTATTTTCCATTGATGTATTTGGCGGTTTTGGTGAGTTGAAATGTACGAATGAAGGTCAGCGAGGCTCAGAGATGTTTCAGATTTACCTTTTATGGCGGATAAAAACTCTGTCGTTGCGAAAGCAGAATGTGCAGTGTATTTTCAGCTGGTTTGAGATAAAGCGAGGACGGCGGTTGGGCCGTCTTCACTTTTATCTCCAAAGTGCTACGGCAGGCAGTTATTCTTTGCTCATTGTTTTTTTTTATCCCATCAATACTGTTATCTACGATCCTTAGCAGTCCAGCGTCTTAAAACCGCAAATATCTGTGCTGGCACGTGGGGCCGGCAAAGGCCGGAGGTGGAGGAACGACATTCTGAAATCGCGCTTTGAGGACGGCCGCTTTCCGACCTCCCGTGTTGTGTCGTGTGGTCCGAATCGAGTTCCACGAGTCGGTTATCTGTGACGTCACACTTTTCTATATATAGCGCGGCTGCTATCAGCATAAGAACAGACGTGACTGTGCCTACGGGCTCGTTGTATTCTTAGCATCACCGAATAAACACGCAAGCTGCGTAGGTTGAGTGCTTCCCTCGAGGATAAAATATACCGTGTGCTGCAAAGACGCCACCCGAAAGTAAATCTCGCTGTGCGTGCTGTGCTTGCGTGATTGAAAGGAATATCAAATACCATGGAAGCCAGTATACTGGCAACTCCCGCGGAAAGCGGGCGAAAAAATGATCGCAGCGCCC